CAGATGATGATGAATATTTTACGAATTATGCCTAATTTAACTGATTTGAAAGTTGATACATACTATATTGATTGTGATGGATATCAATGGGAGCAATTAATAGAAAACTATCTTCTTAAACTGAAAGTTTTTCATTTTCGAATGCATATTCAAGTTGACGGGAAAAAGAATAAGGAGTGATATATGAATCATTTAGTCGATTCATTTCGTTCCAGATTTTGGCTTGAAAAACATCAATGGTATATCGGTTGTCATCTTAGATCTGAAAACAACCGCAAGGTCATCATTCTTCATACTCTGTCATACGGATTCAGTGATCTTCATTCGAATATGTTAAGCGAGGTATATAAAACAACTTGCCCTCACAATAGCAATCATAATTTATATTATCAAGTGAAGAATCTTTCTTACACATTTTTCTCATACCTCGATCATCTATCTTTCATACAGTTTTCTAATATTCGCAATCTTTCTATCGGTTCAAAGCACAACATGCATCTTTGGGAAAGTGTTCCAGTATTTGACTATCTAACTTCAATTACTGTAGTCACAACTGATATGAATGCTTAGTTGTATTCGCAATTATTACTTGATCGATCACCTAATCTATATTCATTAATAATCCAACCATGGCCATCTTCTCAGGTGCCATTAATAGGAAATACGAATAAAAATCTTCGCAGAATCGATTTATCATTGGATAATCATCAACAGAAGTCTCCATATTTTAGTGATGAAGAATGTAAAATATTAATTCAGCCTTCATTGGCTAAACAATGTGAAGAACTTTTAATTAAAGTCAAGAATCTCGAAAATGTACTTGATCTTGTTAACGGAATGCCAAATCTTCGAATTTTGCAGATCCTATACCGCCCTCATCCAATACATTTCTGGGATAGGAAGCAACATGATAAAAAGAGTGAGACGCCAAATCAGTGACTACAAGATCACCTACCTTCCATGTATATAATTGGACAATCTGATTCAAACCGATTCAACGTATTTATTTGAAGCAATGGTGATTTAATCACAATCTTCTTCCATGGACTGTATGCATTGTGCTAAAGAAAATTTATATTTATCGTTTTTACGAACCCGTTTGACAATATCAGCATACTAAATATGAACGAGTCATATGACCTAAGAATGAATACAACCAAGAGAAGTGTGTCGAATCGTTCCCTTAATGTACAGTTTAATAATTAGTCGTAGAAATCTTTTATAAAAAATCAAAAAGTGAAAATAATATTAATATTGTCTGTTCGTAGTTCTTATTTAACGATTGTATATAGAAAATACTCAGATATATACCGTTATATTGCATTTTCTGCAGGATATGCTTCATCAAATTCTTTAATTCCATAAAACTGATTTTCATTATTATTACTAAGGAGATGTGGGTGTGGGTCTTCCTTTAATAAATACTCACAGCTACAGTCACACCCTATTTTCGCCTACAGATATATGTTATCAGATGCACCCAGCACACACATCAACTAGTCTACGTTTTATTGAATCTTTTTATTGCACTTAGATTCTGTCCAATCGACGTGTTAGAAGTATTCTTCGAACTATCGAGAAAATTGCACATTGATTTAACTATTTTCGCTTCGGCATAAGCCATTAATATCCAGTTCTAGCTTGATTTTTCAATCTGTCTTTTTTCAGTTATGCACCAAAAGATAACAATCCAAAGCCTGTGATTAATCGTTATAACTGATAATCAAAGTGTTAAATAGAACTATTTTTTTTTATTTAGGTTCGATCCAACAGCTTTTCGAAATGGGAGTATCAAATTAAAATATAAATTATTATTATTTTTTATTTAGGTTCGACTCAACAGCTGATCGAAATGTGAATATGAATTTAAAATATCAATTATTATTTTTGGTTTTTTTTATTTAGGTTCGATTGAACAGCTTCTCCAAATGTAAATATCAATGGATTAAAAATTAAATGATGTACATTTTTATACAAATAGCTGGTAGGTATTGTCGCTGAGGGGAGATACGAAAAAGTTCTGTGGAATACGATGATAAACGACATGGTATACGACTGTGTACGATCGTTCACAGTGGTCGTATAGCGTCCTATACGATCGTTTACGACTGTCGTAATGCTCGTCCTGGAAGAATAACTATAGACATTTTTTTAGACTTTTTATTTATATATATATATATGGGTATAACATATGACGAGTTTTAAAATAAAAACCAGTTTAATTTTTTTCTACATCCTTTTGCTTTTCGATATCTATTCAGCTATGTATTTTTTTTTATTTCGTGCGCAAAATTCACCATGTGCAAATTACTGAAGTATATAATTTCGTGTACATGTATTCTGGTATGTAACTTTCTGTGCACATCTTGTATAGATCTGTTCGTGATAGAGTATGCAGTAAGAAAAAATGAAAAGAAGAAAAGAAAAATATGCAAAATAAGAAAAGTTAAGAAATAAACAAATTTACCTTGCTGCTAAGGTAAGAAAAAAACAAATCATTTGATGAAACTAGCAAACAGTGTTCCATACACAACAGCACTTCAACACAAAATTTTCTCCATACATCGAATTTTTGTTTATCTCGACATTATGAGTAATTTATTAGAATAACGTCAAAAATAGAAACAAGTCTATTAAATAACACACACATAGTGCCAATATGATCTGTAAATTACACACGATTGAGACAGACATGAAATCGATCACAATGATCGATTTTTCTTTTGGACGATCGAGTGATAAATATTTTTTAGTTAACAATTTCTTTGATTCATTTTTTTGTCTCTATCTCATTTTTATCTATTATTTTAATTAGCCTCACTTCATTGATAATGTCTATATATTACATAATTAGTTTGCTGGCTTTTTTGCCATGACTATACATTATGTTTAATTAATCAGGCGACGAGCGTTGAACTATCAGCATAAAGTAACTAAGATTTTGATGACAATATGTACAAAAATGCTACCGACACAATAGTAAAATATTCATGCCGATGAGGATAAAGGTAAAAAATTTCGCGTCATCTAACACTTTCTTGAAGTCAGCCTGAACTACTTCTTACGACATACCACAGCGAAGCGTAAAGAAGAGACCAAATAGTTCTAGTCTAGCATTTTTCTGTGAGGATAGCCACGATAGCTTTGAGATTGCCTGACACTTTCGCATAAAATACAGTTTTCTATTGGCTTCTTATCAAGTCAATAATTTTTTTATGTTTTGTGACGATTTTTAATTCCTACGATCTTGATGACCTTTTCAATTCATATTCGTGAATTAAATAAGATAGAAATAGAAAATTATTCTTGTATTCATACTAGTGAGTTTAATTAATCCAATAATATGGAGTTCATGAGGAAGATAAATTACAAAATAATTCAAAGTTTTTACATTTCTTCGTAGGAAAGGTTTATCGATGAAACCTGTCAAGATGTATTTTGGTTTATCAGGTATGCAAACTCTACTAAGATATAGCCAGACCTATAAGAATCTATAAGAGGCTATCAGATCTGGCTTGCATTGTGCGCGTGTTTCCACTTTCATCTTCACTCAGGGGATGCGTCCTGTGTGTTTTTATGACTTGATCTTCATTAAAAGAATTTTACACGTTAGTGTAGGCATGCTAGTGTTTCGCGCGCGGCAATATCATATGTGAAAATGTTATGCACGAACTTTAACACTACACTGTAATACGAAAGACAGGCGGCATAATGCCTCACGGTGCTCATCAATCTGGGAACGTGAAGACGAAAAGTTCCAGTCACACAGCGATTCGGAACAGTGAGTACAAAGACTTCGGCCCACACTGAGATGTATCATGACCTGTGCAAAAAGTTGTAGGTTATGTGTGAATGACTTGGGCAATTACACGTTTCCTATTGATTTCCCTGAAAACTCATTTCAGTTTTTACATGGTTGATCGGAGATAAAGAAAATACAGAGATGTAGGATATATATCCAGTATAGAGGATGATACCATGGTCTGTAAGCTTACTTACCTGACAGCCTCAGCTAGTGTGGTGTCGTATGGCTTCGTTATCACAGCAGTCTGATGTGTTGTACTAATTATGTATGCTCATTAAATGAAAAGTATTTATTCTAACAAGAAATTCGATTCTCTTCTAGTGAATACATGTCATTTGACTATACAAATGGCGGTCATAATATATAATCCATAGTTGTTATAAAATAGTGTCAAGTTTCGTTTATGTTCGTATGAGAAGCACGCAAAACTTTTCAATATCTAAAAGAAAACGCTGTCATAAAAAAAGACAGTTAGACGGAATAATTTCAAGTCTATAGAGAGAAGAAAATATACAAACACATGTCTAAAATTAATTTTTTAAATTCCTTGTACAGCTTCTGTGAAAGTTTTCAGCTGTCAGAATCATACTTGAAACTAGATCCGCAAACCGACAGTAGAGCGGCCGGTTACCGATCTGGCCCGGTTGAACTCTAAAAATCGACCCGTTTTGAACGGTTTTTGCATATTTTTTTTATTAGTTTTTTTGAGGCACTAAAGTTGATCAATTTTTCTAGTGTTTATGATTTCCGTAGTTTTATTGATCAAGGGATATAAACTTAGAAGTTGGGATGTGCGTGTGGGTGTGTGACTGTGTGGGGTGAGTGTGAGTGAAAAGAGGACTCATACCCACATCTACACCTACTCCTATTTCAAATTTTCTCACATCAATATTCCGGATACATCGAAGTGTGATATTAAAATACCACCTTAAAAAACAGCACGATTACGAAGATTGGTTCTATACGGTTAGAGGTTAGAGTACAAAGAGAACACAGAAGTACTGTTTAGTTAACATTAATTATCCCACGCATTATTTAAATGTAAAAACGTCGTTTTTTCATTTTTAACACATGGAAAAAATTTTGTGAGTGTAGGTGTGGGACGAATTCCGAACATGAGTCCGACTCACACCCACACCCACCCCACCCCACACCCACACCCACACCCACACCCCACACCCACACCCACACACCCACACCCAGCCACACCCACACCCACACCCACACCCTCTCCTAGATGAGAATAAGTTGATGCTAAATTACCGTAGTCTATAATCAGATCCGGATGACCTCCCTTTGGCAATATATTTTTATTGATTTCCAATGCTTTTTTAAGATATTTTATTGCTGTTGACCAATTCGACTTATTATAATATAAGTCACCAATTTTCGAAAGAACTGTTGCTGTTTGCGAATGATTTGCTGGCAATGATTGGTTACATATTTCGAGTAATTTCTCATAGACAATTAAAGCTTGCTTATCATTACCAATCTGTTCAAAACAATGACCAATATTATAAAATAACATTACATAGCTGGGATGAACGATCGGTGGACACTTTTGTTTGAATTCAAGCGCTTTATTCAGATAAGAAAGAGCGCGTTCGTGATTGCCGATCTTGATGAACAATACGCCAAGATTATTAATGATATCAGTAATGCACTCAATCGTTTTTGGATGATTAGAAATCTGAAGTAGCTGAAAAAGAATTCGAAGCCCTGTTTCATAGTAATCTACCGATTTTTGAGTTTGACCCATATCATCATAAATATCAACGATATTATTATACGACATAGCGGTATGCGGATGAATTTTGGATAAAATTTTTTTATTTATATTCATTGATTTTCCATAAGTATTTAGTACTTCTTCGTACTTGTATTCATCCTTGGCCATTGCACCAAGATTATTATAAATAGATGAAACTTCAACACTATCCTCTGACGAACTTTCTAGTATAAGATTATAATAACGTTTTGCTTTTTCCATTTCTGCCATATCTTGTAAAATTCTTTCGAAAACCACCGCCGTTTCTTTTTCTCTCAGTATCATTTTTTGATAATCAATAAGTTCAATTAATCTTTTATCTTCTTGTTCCATAAATATGAGTTTTACAATCCAAACATTATTTTCAATATCAACAAAGACAATTCGAAATATTGTACTCATCGATAGAAAGATTTCATTTTCATTCTTGATATAACTATGCTTGCTAACATCACCAATCGGTTTGGATTTATGACGGCGAGTTGTATCAATAGTCATTTCAAATAGAACAGAACGCTCATAGGGTGTGGGTGGATGTGGGTGTTCTTTTTATCCATACCCACACCCAAAAATTATAGTTGTATATTGATTGATCAAGTGCATGAATGCAGTTTCTCAACAGATCATCTTGTCACTATGTCAGCTACCAAGGTATGAAATGTGGGGAAGGAGACAACATGGGCTACATCCACCCAAGAAAATACATCCTTATTAGGCTTATAATAGAAATAAGCAACGTCAATGATGATATATCGAATTGAGTGTTATATTGAAACTAAAGATATAATTAAACTTATGTAGACTAAAATACACATTACTGGAAAGAGTTTGTAATTGAAGAACAGACTAACGTTTATGCCCACAAATATACTTATGGTCACTGAAAACGAGAATGGCATACTCTTAATTGCAAGTTTTATATTCGATTTGAACTTTGTTAAAATATTAGTTGTTCTTTCAAAAATTATTCTGAAAACGAATTGAATTTCTTTGAAAAACTTGTTTGTAAAATATAAAGCATATTTCGCAATTCTAGTTCAAACAAAGCGGATGTGTGTGAGTATTTACTTATGAGCACCCAACGCGAATGTTGATGTGACTCTTTATTACTACACCCACATTCACACTCTTTCTAATATCCTATCGAAATACTTGATTTTTACAGCATTTTTTATTACAATCCCGTGAGCCCTTCAGGTTTAATACCGTCGAAAACCCTACAATAGAGGTCCGATTTTGCCAATAAAAAGAAAAATGTTCTTTTCTCTCTAATACACTTTTAATACTTTCAACTGCTCTGGGTGTGAGTGTAGATGATATTATGGATGGGTAGTTATGAAAGTGGGCATTGTTCTTTTGTTCAGGCGCACCTACACCCACATCCTCGTATATTTAATGAAATTTATTTTTGTTCTATAAAGATTGTTAATAAAAACCCCAAAACAGAATTTTACAAATTAAATTTACTTGGAACAAAAAATAAAAATGCGTATTATGACGAGAATAGCTAGTGCGATGTATTTATGTATCAATTACTGCAGTTCCATTGTAAGTAGGATTTTTAGCTGAATCATTTCGTGATAAATCAGTCGATTTTGTACTTGCATTTGCAACTCTAGAAAAACACAATCAAATAATAAATAATCTTAATCGAAAAATAAAAAAAAATTTTTTTTTCGTCCAAACCTAGCTGCACGCTTTTTCGATGAAAAATAGATATACCCCACAACAATTAAAGAAATAGCAGTAAGTCCACCAAAAACTCCACCCAAAATAGGACCCACTAGAAATATTTATATGGAATAAAATAATTTATAACTATAAAGAATATTTTACTTACAATTACTATTTTCTGATGATACTTCTTTATTTTCACATTGTGGACCATTAAAACCAGGTTTACATCTCAAGGAAATTTTGTTCGACGAACATGCAAATATAAATCTGTTTAAGAAGATCAACTTACTCGCATATTGGTCTTCCAACTTCTGTTGTTGATGGTTTACAAATACCATTATTATAGCAAGCATATTGAATACAATCTAATCATAATAAAATAAAAACTAGACTATTTTGTTCTTTAAAACAAAAAAAAAACAAAAATTTTACCAGCATGAGTAATTGTAGTTATTTGAGTGATATCGATTGCTGTTGTTAATATTCCTACAGATGCACTTGTTTGAGCGATATCAGTTGTTGTCGCTAGTATTTCCGTAGATACAGTTGTAGTCATTTCAGTGATTGTTGTCAGTGGATCTGTGTATGATGTTGTTGATAGACAATTTCCTGATCGTGTACTTACATCATCAATAGCCAAATCTAAAATAATTCATTCATATAAATTACAGCAAAGTTTTTTTTTTGTCTAATACATACCACCAGTCTTCGATCCAACAACAGCTTCATAAACAATTGTAAATCGATTTGTTCCATAAACTGTCATATTTGGTTGAACAGTTATTTCTTGTAATAACCAGAAGGACCCGTGAATTTGATCATTTGACCAAATTAAATTATAAGTATCTGAACGTGGATCACGTATGTAAACATTTAATTGAGCACCAACAATGTTATTCATATAATACCAAAATGATATACATCTTATATCAACTAACATAAGTTCAGATTCAATTCGAGCTTTTCTACCTTGTACAATTTGTTGACGATCCATCCATAAATAAAATCCTAGATAAAATTGAAATTTATGATTAAAATTATATAAGACATCAATTTTCTTAAATCAAACCTTCTCGACTATTTGTAGTATGATCGAATATTGATGCATTAAATAGTTCAACATTATAAGATGTTCGTTTCCAATCAAAATCAGCTTTAACATTTTGAAAACCACATAAACCTTTTTCAAAATCACATGATCCTAATTGCTCACATACACCAGATTTTATTTCAACATCATCAATAACTATTGAATCTAATTTATTATTTGTATTATTTAAAATACCTTCAAATACTACTTGATAAGGTGAATCACAACTAACTGTTGTTTGAGCTAATTTCCATTGATTACCTTGTGCACCACGAATTGTATAAAGAATATTTGGATTTATTACACCAATTGCATAAGTTCGTATGTTTAATGTTGCTGTATTTTCTAATAACATGTACCATCTTATACATGAACCACTTGTATCAGGATAACTTGGTGTTACAAGACGACCACTTACTGATTTTGTTGCATCAACTGATTTTAATAATATAAAATGTCCATGTGATGAATTATAAGTAATATCAACAGATGGTAATGATGAATCAGTTCCAGCTTGATAACGTTTCCAATCAATTGTATTTGTTAAATCATTAACATAACTACATAGATCACTACTTTCAAAATCACAAACATCTGAAAACAAGAAAGAAAGATTTTTAAAATAAAATATATGAAAAAAAATAAATAATGAAATTTACTTGATGGCGGACAAGGTCCTTGATTAACAGCAAGATCATCAATACTAATATCACCTTGAATACTTTTACCAACAATACCTTCTACAACTAATTGATATGGTTGACCAATTGTTTGTTCAATATTACCACGTAATGATATACGACCAAATAACCATCGATTACCCTTAAAACATAAATGTATAAATTTATGAAAATTATTTTTTTATTTTTAATTACTTGATTGCCTTCTTTTTGCCATAGAGCTTTACCAAGATTTTCATCTAATATAAAATACAAACAAATTAATAAACTAAATTTGTAAAGAATGAATGAAACTTACTTATTTGTGCATAAATATTTAATCGATAAACATCCGATCCATACATATAATAATAAAATCGAAAACATTGTTCATCATTTGTAGCAATCAAATCAGGACTAATTAAACGAGCTGTGTCATTAAATTTGGCTGGTGCACTTGTTTCAATATATATATAATGACCAAATACTGATCCTGTTGTATGATCACCATCGGGTCCTATATTAGAAGTCGATGTTGAACCTTTTGTAACAGTCCATCTAAATTTTGTTGTACCATCATGTTTCCAATTACATGTACAATTACATTCAAAATCACAATCATATATGTTGGGTGCTAAGTTAAATAAAAACAAAGGATGATATATTTTTATTAACCGCATATATATGGGCGTGGCCAGTCGTGTTGGTACCCCAAGTTATAGGATAGGGAATAATATTATTTCAGGGACGTGTATATAATGAATTTTATATCAAATGAAAGCCCGTCAAAAATGGAATTTATTGGTACTAAAAAGTAAGTGTTTTGTAAACTTTGTGATGTCGAAAGTAGGGATTTTGAAAAATTTTATGCATTAAAAAACGTTAAAAATCTCACATTTTCTATATGAAAAAAAAACATTACATTTTTTCATAAAATTAGCTTTTTTTCATTATTTCTACTATCTTACATGTTTTAAAATACACTTATCCAATTCAGTTTTCCGTGTTGCACCTATTGAATATATTTTGAAACATGTAAGGTAGTAGAAATAATGAAAAAAAGCTAATTTTATGAAAAAATGTAATGTTTTTTTTCATATAGAAAATGTGAGATTTTTAACGTTTTTTAATGCATAAAATTTTTCAAAATCCCTACTTTCGACATCACAAAGTTTACAAAACACTTACTTTTTAGTACCAATAAATTCCATTTTTGACGGGCTTTCATTTGATATAAAATTCATTATATACACGTCCCTGAAATAATATTATTCCCTATCCTATAACTTGGGGTACCAACACGACTGGCCACGCCCATATATATATATATATACAGGATTCCCAAAGATGTTTTGCCCGGGGGCTACCACTATAATTTCAAATAGAAGACATATTGAATTTTATATCAAATGAAAGTCTGTCAAAAATAGGATTTATTGATACTAAATTCTAAAGGTTATGAAAACTTTTTAATATCGAACTTAAAAAGTTTTCAAAAATTTTATACTTTTTTCGAAATGAAAAAGCAAGATGACAGCAATTCAAGAATGGAGTAAAATGTTTTTCTTGGATATTTTTACATGGATCGATAGAGCTCGTTGAGCTCTACAAAACTGTATATATTAAAAATTTTCTAAGTCCTTTTTTGTGATAACAAATCAAAAATCTATTTGAAAAATCTTTAAAAGCATTAAAAAAGTCGTTCTTTTAGTCTTTCAGGAGTTTCAAAATATACTCATTCAATGCAGCGTGAAAAACTGCATCGAATGAGTGTATTTTCAAACATCTTACATAAGGATACTAATGGAAAACAGCTGAATGTAGTGCAAAAAAGCTCGCTTTTTTCCTATAAAAAATATTAAAAAATGCGAGTTTTTGATACATTCTTTAGACAGTTTTCAGTAAATTGTAATCCAATAACTTTGTTTAAAAATTTTTTAATATATACAGTTTTGTAGAGCTCAACGAGCTCTATCGAACCATGTAAAAATATCCAAGAAAAACATTTTACTCCATTATTGAATTGCTGTCATCTTGCTTTTTCATTTCGAAAAAAGTATAAAATTTTTGAAAACTTCTTAAGTTCGATATTGAAAAGTTTTCATAACCTTTAGAATTTAGTATCAATAAATCCCATTTTTGACAGACTTTCATTTGATATAAAATTCATTATGTCTTCTATTTGAAATTATAGTGGTAGTCCGCGAGCAAAACATTTTTGCCAATCCTGTATATATATATGCATACGATAGGTTGTTGATACAATAGGTTGACTTGGTGTTGTTGTTATTTCTGTTGTTAAACATGTGACATTAGGTGACCAGACAATATCGTCAACAGCTATGTCGCCTTAAAAAATAAAAAGCTGTTAGCACAATTCATACGGGTCTTAAGTGTGGAAGACGATCTAGGTATTGATGCTAATTACCAAGAGATTATTTTAATCTATCAATACAATTTGTGATAGTATCTAACTAGAATCTCTCAAAATTTTCGACAAAATTACATTTTTGATTCTGATACACTAACAATATTTTTCTATTATATTTCACAAATATAAGAAATAGTAATAACAAAGAAAATTCTTTTTATACCTTGATAACTTATTCCAACAACACCTTCAACAATAATTCGTACCCATTCTTGATTTTGTAACATTACACTAATATTAACATTTATTTTTTTCCATTCATTACCTTGTTCTCCATCTATTCGATAAACTTCAGTCATTGGTTGTGATTTAATATTTGTATAAATAACTAATGAACCAATACCTACACCATACATATGATACCATAATGAAAAGCAACCTTGTCCTACTATGAAATGTTCACTTATAATTTGAGCTGTATCATCTGGTCTAGCTGGATATGATGACTCAATATAAATATAGTATCCTTGTGTTGAATTTATAGTATGATCTAAGAAAAAAGACATTAAATTTAAAAACTAAAGGATTATATTTTTATCTTAAGATTCTTACCTACGGTTGGTCCAGTACCAGATGAACTTGTTGCACCTGTTTGAAGTAACCAATCGAAATCATCATCTTTTACTTGTGTCCAACTACAAATATCAACACTTTCAAAATTACAATTGATTGGTGGTGGACAAGAGCCATGAGTAAGTATAACATCATCAATACCAATATTCACATTTTCAGAAGATTTAAATGCTTGAAATAATGTAAAAAATGAACTATTACCACCATTTATTAAAATTTGTCCATAACGCCATGTATTTTCATAAATATTATTTGACCATAGATTAGTTTCTACTTGTGAACTACTAATTTGTTTAGCAACATTTAATTCACCAGTTGTTCCATCTGGACCATTGATAAAATACCAAAATTTCAAACATTCATCACCAACATTAGTATATTCTTGACTTCGAAGTCTATTTAATACAGACTAGAAACAATATGCAATTAAAATAAAGGTTTTAAATCATTACTTAGCATTATCTTGAGTAGCCATAGCAAAATATCCGAGTGATGTTGATAATGTATGATCAATATTAATAAAATATGATAAATTAGTTGCTTGTTGTCGTATCCAACTATTATCAGGACTAGCTTGAAAATCACATAAATTAACTTGAAAATTACAAGTTCGACTAGATGGACATGCTGATTGACTTAGAAATATATCATCAAGTGCAATATCACCAGAATAACCTTTTCCAACTACACCTTCAAATACAATACGCCAACCATAGATATCAGTTGAATTAAGATTATATAATGTTTGTGTTGCACGATGCCATCGATCCTCTTGTGTACCAGTTTTAGTCCATACAAGTGTTGATGATATATTAGATAGATTGTTTGGTACACTTTGAATAAATATATTTAATGCACCGATGTCAGCACCATACATATGATACCTAGAAATACATTGGTATTGGCTTTGAATTAAATCATAATTTTAGATTTTACCAGAATGTTAAACAAAGATGAGTAGATGATGGATATTGTAGTGCTGAGATCAAACGAGCACGATCATCGGGTTTTCTATAATTTTTAATATAATAAACAAACAAAGAATATGTATATATGATTAAAGACAATATAGCTGCTGATGTTAATTATAGGAAAATTATTTTATTCTTTAATATTTATAAATATATTTTTCATTATCCTTTTATAAAATACTACAGAAATGAGATAAGTAGTTTATGTATTAGAACAAGGCATTCTTAATAGATTATCTTTGATCGTATATCAGTAATTTCTGTCACAATTTATATTAGAAAGATGAGAGATTTTTAACAAGTCTGTCAAGGTTCGAGTTTCTATTTCATTCTTTAAATTGTATTTTATAAATCATCGATTCTATTTTTTACCTTGGATAAGATGTTTCAATAAATACGTAAAATCCTGAACCAGTTGTATGATCTATAAGATTATTAATAAATATAAGAAAATAAAAAATTTCTTTTAAATACCAAAGCCTGGTCCTGTATCTATTGTAGGTGTTGATTGATTTGTACGTTCCCATTTAAAATCAGCAGTATCATCATGGAAAAAGTTGCACCAATCTTGTTCAAATGTACAATTAAACGGTAAACTAATAATAAACAAAACAAGCAAGCATAATATTATTTTAAAATGATTAAATAAAATTTTTACCCAAGTTCAGGTGGAATTGTAGCTTGACAATTATAAAATTCTACATCATCAATAGCTATAGTTTTATCTTGTTCCGGTGTTCCATCAATTTCTTAAATATACACATATTAAAATTGATTTCATTTTAAATAAAACTCTGTCTATATATATTTACCAATAATAAATCGTCCTTTTTGATATCCAATATTAACAACATTTTGTTTCCATTGTGGTCCAGTCGAATCATTAATACTAGCCATAAATAAAAATGAACTATAATTATTACTTTCTTGTCGAACATAGACTGAAATACTGCGGTAATCCAGCGTATCATTAATATCTATATAGTACCAAAATTTCAATTGACATTCAATACCAGCTGGTCCTAAAGGTGGTGAACGTAATGATGCAAAACCATACGAATCATCAGCTGATGCAACAACATAAAAATCTTGACCTGTTGTATGATCACTTGATGGTCCCATATTGAATGGTCCGGCTACTAATTGCCATTCGACACTTCCAAGTGAATAATCTTTCCAACCACATAATGTTCCATTATTATTATCAAATGAACATGTACCACATTCAGCTTCATCACTACCTCCTGGCGTTGGACAATCAATTCTAAAATCACATACTTTTTCTTTGTCAATACATTGACCATTTTCAATACACATAAATTGATTATTAGCTACACATGGATTTGGTGTTGTAACAGTAACTAAAATGACATTTTCTAGTACACAACCTGTTGTAAGTGATGTATTATCAACAGCAATACCACCTGCATAATCATCATTAACAATAGCTCCAAGTGCAACTTTGGGTATAGGTGTGAATGTATTTCTTTGGTTTGTCTACACTTATACCCTCAAGAAATTGATTACGGTGTTGCGGGGTGCGGGTGTGGGTGTGGGTTGTAATATTCTGTTCTCTCACAGGCATACCCCGCACCCACACCCATACACCCCATCCACACCCACACCCACACTCGTTGGGCTCTACAAAACTATATTTATTAAAAAGTTTTTAAACCATCTTTTTAAGATAAAATGTTCAAAAAACTAATTGAAAAACTTCAAAAGACGTTTAAAATCTTGGTTTTTTTTTCAAATTGAAGAGACGGGTTCGATTTTTCAATAAAAGTAGCTTCTTTCATTATTTTTACCATCTTAGACATCTCGAAATATACTTATTCGATGCTGCGTGAAAAATTGCATCGAAGGAATACGTTTCGAAATCTTTGGGGTAGCATAAATAATGACGAAAGCTGATATTATTGAAAAATCGGGTACTTTTTGAGATTTTCCAAGCAGTTTTTTGAAGTTTTAATTTCAAAAAGATAGCTCAAAGTTTTTTAAAATATATACAGTTTTATAGAGCTCGACAAACTCTATGGAACCATGTAAAAATATCCAAAAAAAAAAATTTTTACTCCATTTTTGAATTACTGGTACCTTAATTTTCCACCCCAAAAAAGCATAAAATTTCTTAAGTTCGACATTTAAAGTCTACATAACATTTACTATTTACTATCAATAAATCCAGTTTTTGCCGAGTTTAATTTACTATAAAATGAATGGTAAATAAATTATTACCAAATAAATCATATTTTATTCGTGAAATGTTTAGTGAACTACTGTTAGCTTCGCCAGTTAAAAATACATCGAAGTTACATGTAAAATAATTATACATGTAGTTCAAACATCTCTGTATATTGATTGAGAGAAAAATAAGAGAATAAAATTTTATTGGGTACTCTTTGACCCGTCAGTAGAGTAAATGAAATGATCAATAAATAAAATTCATCGTCAGTAAATTAATTGAAAAGGAAAGTGTATAAACTCAAATGTAGGATATAGTATCATTCATGTCTGTTTTTTGTTTTGTTTTACTGTGTTAGAAGATGATAAGTATTATGTTTTTTCTCTTCCCTTTTGTAACTTTGACATATGTCAAAAGTACATACGCTTCGTTTCTATTTGGAATCTTCCTTGATCTACTTAGTGATTGTACGTTCTCTCGATGGATTTTTTCATAAGGTGATCAGAAATTACTACATCTAAGCACTATCTATTACTTATCATTTGATATTTGGTGTGTGGGAATGGAAAATGATTCACATTAGAAAACATCAAAATGTGACTGGTCAGCTTTTCCTAAAAACTAAGTATGTGAGCATATTTTTCGTATGAGTATACGGTTGAAATATTGCAAACCACCATCACCACCACCAACAAAGACAATTCCGATTAGCGAAAGGAGAAAACGTAGTCGACTAGCAAAAGCTAAAACAGATCTGATGGTGCAATAGATGAATGATCGTGTTCTGTATTAACATTAATTTACAAATTTCTTATTTAATATTTCATCAGATTCCTTTTTATATTTTCTAAAATTCTTTCTTTACATTTCTCTTTCTTCCACTAGAGTATATGTTATATTGACAAAAGATGTGTTTCAACTGATCAAAACTATATTTTTCTACTGACGCTTATACATTATAAAATAACTACTTCCTAATTATTTACGTATATTTTTAATACTGACAAACCAATGTATATACTAATCATTTCTATACTCTTTTACTGACCATTTCATTCATTTTACTGACTGGTTAATATTTTCTCAATTTTATTATATTTTTTTCCTCTCAGGTAAAGTAAAAATAGGACTGGACTACAAGCAGCTTGATTCAATTATTTTTGATAATTTTGCGCAGTTTGCTGTATTTATGCAAAACCTCCAAGGCTTTTTATTTTGATACAGTCGAAAGAGCATCAATCACTCTACCGAATTATGTGGTTTTTTTTTTATTCATTTTAACATCTTGTAGAGAAATTCCATGAAGTCTGAGGACCGTTGAATAATAATCAAAATTGCTTTAGATGGAAGAAATCAATAACATTTCGTCGTGAAAAAAAATATTCAATAGAACGGATTCGGAATATAGAGGACAAAAGTAGCGTTTACTCTTAAATTTTAACTCACTTTTCTGCTAGTGAAAAAGTCAAGTTTGTAGGACTTTTCGCAAAAATGTATTTGTAAGACTCAACGTACATGTGATCAAAACTATGCAAACTAATAGGGCAATCAACACTTTATTTGGATTCGTATCACAGAAAAGAAGTGTGACTGTTTAAAACACTAAAACTTCTATAGAAAAAGACGAAAGTCATATATGAAACAAAGTCTATGAAAAATTTTTTGAGAAATTCCTTAAGTTTATAGTAAAAATATGAAATAAAATCATTGAAAAGAATATATATCCATAGAGAAACAAACAGTCTATTATTCTATATGAAAATAAAATGTTCCAATAGCACAATAAATAATAATCATCGAAAAAAATCATCTCAAAAATTATCCGAAGTTTATTGTGTGAAGAAGCCTCCTTGACTGCTTTTTTGGATTTATCAAATTTTCAAACCAGATCTAAAATAAATAAAATAAAAACTATGCAATTCGATAGAGAGACTGATGCTCTTTTATTTATATTAAAACAAAATACTTTGATATTTTGCTTAAATATAGCAAACTTCGCAAAACTTTTTGATCGACAAGGAAACTATAGTATTACTAGAAACACTAAAAGAACTTCTCGTCATGAACAGTTTTAACAGTAATATGACAACTGAATTGGCCTAAATCTTTTTACTTTTGATATTGTATGATTTTACTAGTTTCTATGTAAACAAAAAAAATAATAAAGCAATGTTATATCATATATTTAAAGAACTTTGAATGATAAGAATCTAATATTCGCTTAACCAACAACTTCATCAGAGTCTTCTGACAGATGAAAATACATTAGAAATCTATGACACTGTATAAACACTGCGACTAACATGTAGCGAATAGCATAAAGAAATTCTCACTCAAATAGATTTTTAATCGTCTACGCAAACATAAAATCCACTTGATATCTGTAATTGTAAACAAATGATGAAATTTTCATGCGACTAAGAAGAATGTATTGCTGAAATATTCTATTGTCAAATTCACTCTTTAGGTATCGAATCCAAATCCGAAATCAAGTATTGAATAACCAATCTAAACCAAATCCAAACTTCTAATATAAAACCCCAAACACTCAAATTTGTTGCATCCCTAGTTAACTCTATAGAATGAGAGACCAATAAGAGTTTGCGGTTGTCAAATGAGCTAACTTTTATCCTTGTTTATCAAATAAATAACCACAAATGATATAGTATAGGGTTGAAAATTTCACCATAGCTTCTCCACTATATCTGTAACGTATTCTGAAAATTTCATGCGATTTGAATGTTTCTGGATTGGAATTGACTTTTGAGAGCGAAGGAAGGAAAGGGGTTTAAACAATAAATAAAAAGCTATTAGCACGATTTCTGCAGAACTCAAATGTAAAACACGAAGTAACTGTTCTTGCTATCTTGGTACAAATTCTTCAACATTGCCTTATTTGATCCTCCCAAAATGTAATAAGGGATTAGCTCATATTGTATAACGAAATGTTACTGATATACAGTCTATGATCATACATAAACAACTTTCACAATTAGTAATGGTCTCTGACAAGTGTTGCCGTCATAGCTAAGTAGTCATTCTGTAGGAAGGGACTCATACTATACTATATTTTGCTTATTAACTAGGTCATTTCTCCAATCTGAATTTATACAAAAAGATTACTTTTGTATTTTTTTAAAAAGAATCTTTCATACTACTAACCTTCATTGGAATTATTTGGTTGAGCTTTCGTAAACGAAAAAAATTAATAATAGTTTATCGAGAAAATCATTTCTTTTATAAAACTTACCCGCAATACCAATAAGGTATAGAGTAAGAAATAAGAACACTAAATGGTCCATAATCCTTGTGTTTTAAACAATTTCTCGTATACAAAATTATATATTTCTAAAGCAAAAAAAACCACGTGCATTAAAATCTGTATTCTCAACTCTCCTTACACCCATCTTCAGTTATGAATCATTTCGATATACTTGAAAAAAATGTCTTATCTCTTTTTTTTTCTTACTCTCCTAGTAATAAATGTAGGTGATAATTCTGTCTTTCTCTCTTTGGTCTAACCATTATTTCGAATCATCTACGAAAGAGAGATTTCAAAGCAATACAAAGACAGACCAATAGCAGCATCATTTGTATCAAGATAATTTTTGCTTCTTTATTCATAAGCGAGAGGTAATTAATAGGTCTCCATAAAAACATAATATTTCTTACTAACAATGAAAGACAAAAATATTAACTCTACAAAGGCACATCAAATAAATATTGTGCGTAAGCAAATAAAATGTTAACTTTTTATCTTGTAAAAGGTATACAAATATGGTTGTCAGCACAACAATAGAGATAGAGAAGTATCTAACAACTAAGAAATCGGAATTATTTCTTTGTCTTTTCACATTTCCATAATTGCCAAAATAAAAACAAAAATACAAGATTTACGATACTTCAGTGTGTGGGTGTGGTTGTTTTTTTTCTCTTGCTTCCCATACCCACACCCTGATCAGTTACTTACTGTCATGAAATAATTTATGCTGAATATGTGAACAGAGTTCTAATGACGGTAATTTTCAATTTCGCTGAGTGTTACGTTTGTAAGATGCGCCTGTTGTCCGTCGAATGATGGGTGTGGGTGTGGTTTTTCCAAGGGGGAAATAACTGACTTTTATGACTTAAAGTCATTTCGATCATTTTTAGATTATCTAGATCATTTAGATCACTTAGATCGCGAAAATCATTAAAAGTCATTAAAATATCTCAGACTATTCGAAAAAGAACGTTAGTCAATACTTATCTAAAATCTATTTATATGTGAATATATCAATATACGTTTCGAATAAGGTACAATAACAATGATTTTATCAAAATATACATACAATATAACTAGTTTTTGAAAATATAAAACGATTGGCTTCGAATCACTCTAAGACATTTCATTAAAGTTTTTAAGCGTGTAATGGTCTATAAACAGAATCATCTTTCGATATGGAAAACTTCACATCATGGCTGCTTGCATCGAAGCCTTCGTGATCGACTTCGATAACATTCTTCGAAAAATGTTGGACCACGAAGATTACTATCTCATGTATATATAATATGAGAACACACAAGATGGATCGGAGAAAGTCATAAAAGTGACCATGTATAATTATCTGTGATTCCTGCTAATTTTTAATCTTCTATCAGATTTCGATAGCAATGACTAGTCGAAAGTATTCACCATTTGATTTTTTGTATATTCAAATAGGTTACTCGCTCATCGTTTGTCCATAAAAAAAATTTATGGACGTTTCAATACTGCTTTTAGTGATATTCGTCTATTCTGACAATGAATTTTACTGAACTGTTGTTGGTTAGCTGACTGACTAGGATGAAGTCAAATCATTTAGAATACAAAATATCTCTTTTGCTAATTCTTTTGAGCGAGTACCAATGTTTTCGATGTAGTTCGTATCATTTTTAAAGAGATCAATTCGATTACAAACAGGCTTTTTTTAAAATTTTGAACAATAATATTTACATGATCAAGCAATCTATTGAAAGCTGAATCGAATATTTACGAAATGTATTCACTAGAAAATCAAATGATATATAAAAATGTACTAATAAAAGATAGTCAAATATACACAATACATCTTCGATAATTACCTCAACTGTCGATACTATTTCTCACGAATCAATCGGGACGACAACAT